TATTCCACTGCTTCGCCTACCGAAAGGTACACACAGAGGATCTGAGGATGCTGTAGAAATGCAGATCCCGATCCAGGGTTCTAGGACAGGGCCTGAGATGCTGCATTTCTAATAAGCTCCCAGATGAAACTGATGCTACTTGTCTTGGGCCCTCAAATTGACTAGCCACAATTAGGCTACACAAAGCTCCAGAGCCCTGAAAAACCTCTGAGTAAATTCCCTTTTCCTCCTCCACAGACATTTACTGAACAGGCTAGGCAAAATTTCTGCTGAATCTTCCTGTTCTTTATTTAGAAAAAAATGTGATTATCCACAGGCATCGCAGAATTTGTTTTTCCACTGGTGTTTGGTTATTTGAACGGTGACAGCAATGATGGGCTTTTTTTCCCATCCACCTAGACTTGGGAGTTGTTTTTCTTTTGTCTGTACTACAACCAAGAAGTTGTAGATGTTCCTGTTTTAATGTCATCGAGAAGAAAGTAAATAATCAGGAACTGATATGACTGACTTTTTTCTCTATTTCCTTCCAAAGAAGCTGATGTGGGAATAATAACAGTATTTGGTAGAACTGAGAGGTTCTTTTCAGTTCTGTGGTACCTGTGTTCCTTCCATTAGGATATCACGCACATTTCAGAGTCTAACGGCGGAGGGCATGTTCTTTAAGTAAGGGTGTATGTGGATCCGTGGTTCCATGGTGCCTCTCAGGGCATCCCCTGTGTCCCGTGAGGTGTCACTCCAGCGTGGCTTCAGGACTGCATGGTCGCTGCTTCTCCAGTTATGTGCCCAGGGCAGCCAGACCTGCTTCCACTCAGCTGCCCCTTGGCACTCTTCAAGGGGCGTCCCTACTCTGGGGCTCTGGATGCTTTGATGAGGCAACATCTTTAGAAACGGTCAACCATTCAGTAAATGGAAGACCTTACAGACCATCATGCCTCTTCACACTGGGTTCCTTTTGGGCGGAGATTCTTTGGTTCACACTAAAGTGAAGGCAGTTTTCTAAATTTTTCAAATTTGCCCGATATGGACTCTAACCTGTGCAACTGAGTATGTGGAATGACCACTGTGAGAGAGTGTAGAAACCGTGGGTACGAGGAATCTGTTTTTCTAGAGATTCTAACTGGGACCCCCTCCACCCAAGCAATGGTGCTCCCAAATCCCTTACCTGTGGAGGCCGTTTAGTTTTCCCTGCCATTAATAAGACGACTCCTGCTCTTCATGGGTGACACATTAGGCGTACGGTATGTGTATGCATGTATGTATGTGTGCATGTGAACATGTATGTATCTCTGTGTATGTGTGGGGTGTGCATATGCATGTATATCTGCATGCCCATGTGAATGTGCATGTACATGTAAGTGCATGCATGTTTCTGTGGTGTGTACAGTTGTATTTATACATGCATGTGGCATATGTTTTTTGTGTGGTGTGTGTATCTGTGGTATGTTTATGAGTATATGTGTGTACATACGTGTGGTGTCGGTATGTGGGTTTGTGTGTGTGTCGTGTGGTTTGTGTGGTACATGAGGTGCGTATGTGTGCATGTGTGTGAGTGGGGTGTATGTCTGTGGTGTGTGTGTATGTGTGCGTGGTGTGTATGCATGTATGTGTATGTTGTGTGTGTGTGTGTGCGTGCACGTGTACCTCCTCACAGGCAGGGCTGGAATCGAGTCCAGCCTGGTACCCTCTGCAGTGCCTCGCATGATGCTTTACATCGAGTAGGTGTGCAGAAGGGTTCTTTGGTTAAAGTGAGTTGAATGCATGAGTACTGCATCTGATGGAATGAAAAGCGATTGCTTTCAGATTGAATCCACCAATCTCAAATAACAAATGAAGGAGCAAATGAACTAATAAGAGAAGAGAATTCTGTCACTGGTTTGTCTGTGAGGCACCACTCCGATGGCATCTGATGGAGTGAGGTCTGGGGACAGAGAAAGACAAATATTATGTGATATTACTTATATGTGGAATCTAAAAAATAATACGAATAAACTTCTAGAATTCTTTTTATGCTAAATGTTTTAAATAAAGAAGTGGTTTGGGGTAGTGGTTAAAAGCATGGATTCTGGACACCAATTGTCTGGACATGGGCCACTTACTAGCTGTGTGACATGGGCAAAAGAGTTAACCTCTCTGTGCTGTTTCTTTTTTTTTTTTTGTGGTACACGGGCCTCTCACCGATGTGGCCTCTCCCGTTGCGGAGCACAGGCTCCGGACGCGCAGGCTCAGCGGCCATGGCTCGCAGGCCCAGCTGCTACGCGGAATGTGGGATCCTCCCGGACCGGGGCACGAACCCGTGTCCCCTGCATCGGCAGGCGGACTCTCAACCACTGTGCCACCAGGGAAGCCCTGTGCTGTTTCTTTATCTGTAGAATGCAGATGCTAATGCTCATCTGTTAGGAAGTTTGTTAGGATTCATGAATTAATATATGAATTAATATAAAAGAGCATGTAGAACCCTGGCGGTGCACACTATATATGTATTATTTTTATTGTCATCAACAGCAACGTTATTCATCTTATTAAACATTAGAGACCACAGAGTTACATAAAATATTTGCGACCAGGGAGACTAATTTTTCTGGGGTGGAGGAGAGGCAGTTATATTCTGATCACAGTAATGTGTACTTTACTTATTTAACCTCAGTTGTCCCCTAACCTAATAACAGTTAAATTAGCATCCAGGGAAGGGCCAGCAGCATGAATCAAATTCTACCCCAGAAGCCTTTGTTCAGAAAGTGCAGGATAGGATGGGTGCTCTGCCCTCCAGAGCTGACCAAGTTCTTGAAGAGATGGGGTGCTTGTTCCAGAAACTACCGAGGGCCATGGCTACAGGACAACGTGTCACCAAGGACACGCAGAGCTACCTAAGGAGCCTAGACGTTTGCAGCAACAGAATAAATGCAACCAGAAACTGCGTCCAGGGGGGTGATGCAGCGGGCAGAGGCATCAGGCACTGCTCAGCAGGTGGGGTGCGGGGACAGCTCGCTCACCAGCCCGAGCAGCTGCAGACCCTCTTGTGCCTTCCCTGGCTGTGACCTTCCAGTAGGAATGAGCTGGGGGCTGCAGCGTGCTTCACACGGTCCCTTGTGACCTACTGAAGTGGGTTGTTTCATCTGGCCTTTGCTGAAATAATTTAAAATTACAACTGGAAAGTTTTCTTCCTTCTGACCTATTAGCTAAAAATATAATGTTAATCAGCTTAGCAGTACCTTGAAGATAACCAAGGGTCTGGGCTCCAGTATCCAATTATTTATTTTGTAACCCTGATATCCCACGATCACATTCAGATGATGATATTTTCCTCTTATGTGCCATGACTCTAATGTGTTTGGGCAGTGGATTTAATGTTAAATTAATAAACTTTTATTTTTTTAGTGACAGATAGAAATTACCAGATAGGACCAATTTCTAGCTGGGTTTTGACTGCTGTTATAAAACTATGATTTGAGTGTGCAGGGAAAACATTTTGAGGAATCTGACCTGAAACTTTCCACCCTCTCTGTTGGCAGAATGAAGGAATCAAAGATCCCATCCTGTAGTTTTTCTCCAAGAGTTTCATAATGCACAGGGTTAAAGATTAAGTACGAGTAGAAATTAAACTAATCAAAGATTTCAACGATCTGATTGTTGTGATTAGAAAGCATGTGTTCATTGGGAAGGTGACTAGCAAATAGTTTGGAAGGATGATACTGAGAGGTAAACGTATACTGCTGTGCTAGGCGGGATAGTGGACCCCAAAGAGGTCGCCCTCCTAATGCCTGGACCCTCTGAACGTTACCTTACATGGCAGAAGGAACTTGGCAGATGTGCTTAAGTTAAGGGCCTTGAGAGATCATCCTGATTATCCATGTGAGTTCTGAATGTAATCGCAAGGGTCCTTGTAAAAGGGAAGCAGGTGAATATTTGCTACAGACACAGAGGAGGAGGAAGTAAAGATGGAGCAGAGAGCGATTTGAAGATGCTCTGTTGTTGCTTTGAAGATGGAAGGGATGAAACCAAAGGATGCAGGAGTGCAGCGCTAGAAGCTGGAAAAGGCAAGGCAATGGCTGCTGTCTAGAGCGTTCAGCGAGGCCCTGCCGAGGTCTTGGTTTCATCCCAGGGAAACCCATTTCAGACTTCTGACCTCCAGAAATGCAAGGGAATAAATTTAAGTTGTCTTAAACCACAAGTTTATCGTAATTTCTTACATAGGAAACTAATATGTCACTTTACTATCTAATTCGTAAGCATTGCATCTGAGGGCATTGAGTTTTTAAAAAATAAAGTTAATTTTCAAATGTATAATGGAGCCTGTGTGAAACTATAATAGCCATAGTGATTGGAATAAGGGGAGATTTAAATGCAAAACTTCAGAAGGTGACTCTGGGGTATAGATTGGGAAGGCTTTGGAAGTAGACAGGATCAGTGATTCTTTAGTTTCTTGGCACTTTATGGCACAGCTCTGTGCTGTACCATCTGCTTCGTGCAAGGGGCTGCTGCCGCCAGGGCGTAGTACAGTCAGAGACTGTAAATTTTGCTGAGGATGTGATACTGTCTTTCTTCCCAACCCTTTCCCTCCTCTTCTCCCTCTCCGCCCAGCCCCCTCAAGCAAATATGTGTTCCCAGTGGCCGATGTTTTCTGGAAGACTACTCTCTAGGATATATATATGTATATATATATTTAAATTGATTTAACACATTTTAGAAAGAAAAACAAATTTTTAAAGTAATTTGATGAAATCTAGAGGATTTGATACCTTCTTGGATGAGATGCAGAGATAGGATTCTCTCTGGATTATTATTTATTTTATTTTGTTTATTTATTTATTTTTTGCAGTACGCGGGCCTCTCACTGTTGTGGCCTCTCCCGCTGCGGAGCACAGGCTCCGGACGCGCAGGCTCAGCGGCCATGGCTCACGGGCCCAGCCGCTCCGCGGCATGTGGGATCTTCCCGGACCGGGGCACACACCCGTGTCCCCTGCATCGGCAGGCGGACTCTCAACCACTGCACCAACAGGGAAGCTCCCTCTCTGGATTATTTTTTTCCCCTCTAAAGATAGTAAAATTCTCCAGCTTAATAATGTTATAGGAGTGAATCATTAATGTTCTTAAATTTACCAAAACACACCTTAAACCCATGTGACCGTTATTTTTTTTTTAAGTTCTTGAGATGGGAGATTTATTTTCCTAAAAGGTTTTATTGGGGAATTCACATCGACAACCAGGAACGCACTTTCTTCCTTACTTTGCATAGTTTTCTTTTGCATCTCGTTTGGATGAAATAAGGCAGAACGTTCTTATTACTTGAACTTGGCTTCATTTTATTTTCCGTTTTCATTAATGCTTTCCTTGCTTTGGCACACAGCACTATTTGGTTCACAGTACTGTAGAAAAAATGCTTAATTACTGAAAAACTCTGACTGCAATTCAGGAAGAACATGCAGAGGAACATATTTGCTCAGGTTAAGTTTACGTGACGTTCAAAAATAGATAACAATAACCTGCCGCTAAACTAAATGGGCGCTTTTGTTGAAAGCATTTGGTTGCGAGTGGAGCAGAAAGAGATGGGATCTAAGGCATTAATTTAAAATGCCTTAAAAGGAAAAGCAAGATACATCACAGTGTTCCTGCTGGCAGGAGACCAGGTTCTTCTTGAGGTCTGTCCCTGGTGCCAGAATACTGTCCACAGCAGTGGAATTGAACATGAGGGTTGCGTTTTAAATCCACTCCGTGTGCATTGAGATTGCTCAATTGCTATGAACACGTAATTTAAAAAAATAAAAAAGAAAGGAAATAACTCTAGGTTATGAATTAGAAGACCAGGGTTTCTACTTTTTGAGTCATCATTTCCTACCCACATATTTCTAGACAATCCCTTCAAGGCACGAGCCTCTGTTTCTTCATTTGCAAAATAGCAGTCTGCACCTTGCTTCCTACCTAGGACTCTTTGGAGGATCTAAAAATTAGGTCCATGCAAACACTTCATAAAATATAATTTTATGTAAAAAGAAATGCTTAATTGTGAGGGTGTTTTGAACAGGGCTGAAGTAGAAGGAAGGTAAATTTTTTGTACACTTGTTTACTTTTTTGGGGTGAAAGTGAGAAGAATTGGGTCTGCTCCCATGCAGTGAAGCAAGGGAGGTGGACCTGGGCTAGTTCAGCTCCTCTCTCTTCTGGGAGCCATGGTTGTGACTTCCTCTAACCTTTGTTGTCATGAACCTAAGACCGATGAATACCCCTCTGCCTTCATTCATCCCCAAACTTATATAAAGGATGTTTCCAGATTCTCCATTGTTCATTCCTGGCTAAGAGAGAACGAGATGTCTGTGCAAGAGGAACAGATACGACGAGAAGTCACACTTTGTCTGAGGAAGGTATTGTTTGCATTTGTGTTACATACTATTATTTATCGTAACTTCCCCTCAAATCATTTGTTTCCTGGTTATTAACAGGGTAATTTAGCTTTGTTTTTAGAGTATATTTGGGACGTAGGTACCAGACAAGACAGACTGGAACATTTGCAGGTTGGACGGAGGGGTCTTCTGAGAGAGTTGGTGCCCTCAGTTTCTTTCATCAGGGCTGTTGCGTCTCCGGTATATCAGAGATACTTCTTTTCTTGGATTCTGAGAATCTGGAATGATATTCACAGGTACTTACAATGTCAGAGAGTTTTCACCCTTGTAGTTGTGGTTGCCTCTTGAATCGTCCAGATAAAAAGGTTAGACTATTGTAAAAAGGATATATCTCCTCGACTTACAGTGAACTGAGAACAGGACATAGTCCAATTCTGTATCACTGTGAATAACGTAGATTAGAGGAACTTCATTATATTAGTACATCATGGAATCTCTTGAATGCGATACACTCTTGCCTAGCTGTGGAAGGACTGTGTTGCACAGTGGGAAATACACCTCTAAAATTCATCACCCCAAGAGTTAAGGAATCTATTATAATTACTCACTGTACCTGAATTCCATAAGGGTTTGGGATGAGCTCATAAATTAAAGAGCCATTAATGGCTACTGAAAGAACTCAGAATATTTCTAACTCACAGCATGTGGACTGAAATTTGAATGACTTAAACAGCAACTTCCAATTATGTGTCTGTTAGATTTGATGTGGTAGGCTGAATGTACTATGACTCCATTTATTGTAGCAGGTTTTATTTTTTCTTTCTTTTTTTTTTAATGTGTGTAATGGTTGTTACCAAAAATATTTTCCAAACTTGTTTAACTTAGTTCCTTGAATTGCTATCTGAAATTATATTTTAAAACATATCTCACCTGAGGGATTGGAAAGATAATTTTAGGCTGAAATTCTTGTTGGGAGGTAAACGGAAGGAATTCTATTGTATATCAATACATGTAAAATATTGTTAACTTTGCATTAACTTGAGACAAGGGTCTGAAGTATGAAATTAAAAAAAAATTTAAAGAACGTGCAGTTTTACTCATTTCAGCTATAACTGTAAATGGAACAAGGTTAACAAAGGATCCCTTAAAAAGTATCCCATCACCCAGAGATGAGACTCCTTTGCTGACTAAAAATACTAATATTTTGTGATGATGTATAAATGAGCTTTTACAAAAAACTTGAAAAATCCAGGTTCTAAAACATGTTATTTACCTCCCAATAGTTTGTGCTTACTAATTTAGGGATAAAACATCACCTCTGAATCATATGAAATTGCCATTTTGTAGGTCAAAATTTGTCAAATATTAGAGATTTTATATGATCAGGTTCACTTTAATTTTTCCAGTCAAGCAGCAAACATTTATTATAGTAGATTATTACTGTCTGCCAGAGTGCTGGCAGCCTGTAACTCCTCAGTGGACCCTTTGTTGAAGGAATAAATGAGATAGTAAATGAACGGAAGACTGAATGGGTAAATGCGTATGAGTTTGTGGCTCAGGATTGTTCCAGGAGCCACGGGGCTAAAGTGGTATGTCTTCCAGTCTTAAGGCTTTTTCTTTCCAAGTTTTTTCCAGATTCCATGAAATTAATTTTTCCTATCACCCTGACCTATCACAGAGAGTCCTTGTGTGGACATCTTATCTGAAATATGGTGGTTATTCCCATGAGAGAGCTGCTGCTGCTTTGCCTTTTTTTACGTTCTCATTCTTATCAGTATTTGAAGTCATATGCTTTCTAGTTTATATATTGTTTTTTTTCTGTCTTCTCCACTAAGGTCCATGATTGGAGGCACCTTATCTTATTCAATAATATATCTCCAGTTCCTAGAAGAGTGAGTGATACATGGTAGGTTCTCAGTAAATATTTTATGCATGAAGGAAGAAATCATTTGAAAAGAAACTGTCTAGTGAAATGAGCTGATTTGTATATCATCTTCCCCAGAAACTAAGCATTAAGATGAAACACTGAGACTGCTGACAGAATTTAGAATATTAGAATGATAACCCCCTGGGCCCATGTGGATGGGCTGACACCACAGTACTGTAGGGACCCTGGGGCTCTAGAACCAATATTCTTTCATCCAACATTTTTTTGTTGAGTGCCCACTAAGTGCTGGGCAGTGGATGCTTGGTGGGTCTTGGAAGAAATGTAAAAGTGGACTTCCCAAGTCCTGTCCCCCATCCGTTTCTTCTGTCCCCAGCCCCCATCATCATCAGCCTTCCACTTTTAGCAGTGCAGCTCTGGAGAGCGGTAGTGGGCTTCTCCTTGCACCTGCCCCGATACCTTCTGCTTGTCCAGAATTGGTCCATGGTTGCAGATTACTTGGTCTCTCTTCTCTTTTGGACGCATGATTTCATTGTCAAATACTCTGCTTTTACTGTTGCACCCACAAGGGTTCTGATAAGCATCCTCTAGGGTGGCCAGTGAGACTCTGTCTTGAACCTTTGTCCTTCATTATAATTCACTTTACATTTGTCCTTAACTTTAAGCTGTTACTTGGTAATAAGTACCAAGAACACAGTAGTGGACAAGACAGATATGGAAGTAGAATCTCACAGAACTTCCATTGTGCGAAAGAAGATGGGAAAGTCATAGAGTAACTGCATGGAAGTGGGAGGAGGGTTGCTGAAGGGAAAATAGAGAAGGCTCCGGAGTGTATAGAAGTGGGGAGGTGGCAGGGAAGACCTTAAAAAGGAGGCCATTATGTAGACACCCCAGGGAAGAAGAGGACCTAGGTGGGGTGGTAGGAGAGGCAGAGGGAGCTGGGGTGCGAGAAAGCTTGGAGCCGCTGAAGACCTGGAAACGTTCTGTCTGTCCAGTGTCTGTCCCGCCACCGTCTGTCCCATGGTCAGTGGCGTGCATCTGTGGGATTCTCCAAACCATCTGTTCCACACGGTGGAGAATAGATTGGAGGAAGGCAAGATTGGAGGTGGGGCGACCAGTTTGGGAGCCTCTTCAATAGCCCATGCCCAATATGGTGGCAGCTTTTATTGGAGAGGTAACAGTGGGTGAGAGGGAAATGGTCCATTTAGCAGGAATTTAGGAAGCTCAATGTGCAAGATTTGGTGACTAGTAGATGTGGTAAGAGGAGGGGCCTTCATGATGGGAGGTGACACTCACTGGTCTCCTGCTTGATCCTAAGAAGAAGGGCTGCTCTGTTCCAAGGTGAGCAACTAGAGAAGGCATATGAGCTGTTGCTGTTAGTGGGGCTTGGGGGGAATGAATTCAAATATTTGGCTCTCAAGACTCAACCCACTCGCAGGGACTCATCTCTCTCCAGTTGATATGATACCTTTATGATCATGTTCTACAAACAATTCCCCACACTGTGTTTCTAAAGTTTTCCTTTGTTCTGGAAGAACAGCTTTCCATGGTGGGCACTTCTAGGGTGGAAACTGGGTCCTGCCTGGGGCACCATATGGCAGTTACAGGAGTCTGTTTCCTTCCCCCCAAGGCCGACTGAGAATGTATGTCACGGGCTTTAGGTGCACCATAGTGCATCAAATATGGAAGCCAGGAAATAAGGAAAGACCTCAGAAGTACATCCTGTACAAGGTAATAAGCATCGGTAACCATATTGTGTGGAAGGCATGGAAAAGCAAGTTTGACAAGACAGCTGATTTATTCTGAAGAAGATGAAGGCATGTGTGTTCCCACAAGATGATGGCACTCATAAACGGTCAGCGAGAAGTCATACTGTGCCAGAAGGCATTTGCTCTCTAAGACTGCTCACATCCCCTCTCTCCAAGGAACTTGTTAACAGGTAAATCTGCCCCAAATATTCTGGGATGGTTTTAACCTGAAGACCTGATAGTCTGAGGCGATGGTTAAAAACTCAGTCTCTCCGAAGCACGTGCTCCTTTATCATGGCAATAAACATAATAGATCTAATTGTGATGGAACACAACCATGTCATTGCTAAACAGTATTTTTTTTCCTAGTAAAATAACACCTATGCTACCTCACTAATTTCATCCTTTTTCCAACAAGAGCGGACGTTTTTCTACGAGGAATTGGCACCCATTTCATGTTATTATTGGTTGTAGCAAACTTATAGTAAGATCAGCTTTAAACAAATCCTCAGTAATTATTTAATTTTCAAGATTATTTTGGCACAGGCTCATGCTTCAGAGAAGTTACAGTGGAGTGCTCCCCAGTAAAAAATATGCTGGTCCTGGGATGGCACATAGGTGGGAGACAGGTCTTCAGGATAATAGTGCGCTCTTGGGAATTGACGCTGGTTGTGTTCTGAGACCTTATAACTGGAATCTGATGTTCCAGAAGCTCCCTGTTGGCCTTGGCTTTTAAAGACTTTGTTTATGATGGATTTCATCACCTTCTCAACATGTCTACTTGCCACCTTTGCCCACAATTTGTAAGGGGCGCAACAAAGCCCCACAAGGATTCCCCACCATCACATATGGCCTCCTCCTTAAATGGGATTCTCTGCGGTTGTCTCTCTAAAAACTGGACCAGGTATAAGATTGTCTGATGATAGCTATTTGCAGCCCAAAAGTTTTTCAAAAAGACCTTTTATATTGGTATTAGGTTAAAAAAATAATTTGGGAGTTAAATATCAGATCTGTTTAACAAACTTGGAACCTTAAGTGTGTATGATTACATTTTATAGCAGTTAAATGGAGACATGAACAAACTAAGAAGTCAGGTAATTTTAGCAACTCCTAACCAATGGTATGAAATTAATACATGTAGTCTGATAAAAGACTGTCCCCATTACAGCTAATATAAAATTAAGCTTTTTCAATTAAATTGGCCCCTAATGGTAAATTAATCTTTAAATGATTGCAAGAGGAAGCCTGAATTCTCTTCTTTCAGCTGTCTGCAGCCATTATATAAATTATTCTGGGTGGATATGTTTTTTTTTTCTTAAATTAATTAATTAATTAATTAATTTTTGGCTGCATTGGGTCTTGGTTGCTGCGCGTGGGCTTTCTCTAGCTGCGGCGAGTGGGGGCTACTCTTCGTTGTGTTGAGCGGGCTTCTCATTGCGGTGGCTTCTCTTGTTGTGGAGCACGGGCTCTAGGCACCTGGGCTCATTAGTTGTGGCTTGCGGGCTCTAGAGCGCAGGCTCAGTAGTTGTGGTGCACGGGCTTAGTTGCTCCGCGGCATGTGGGATCTTCCCGGACCAGGGCTTGAACCCGTTTCCCCTTGCATTGGCAGGCAGATTCTTAAACACTGTGCCACCAGGGAAGTCCGGGTGGATATGTTAATTTAATTCTACTTGAAAGTTTCCCACGGGGTTGAGGACCCACCTCGGTGGCCCAAGGTGCTTTTTGGGGCATGTTTCATTTGGCTGTGTTCTTGGTGAATGTGGAGAAGGGCTGCTTGTGTGACATTAATCTACCCGGATACATTTCTGATTGCTCACTTTGAGACTATTCTTATCATTAACCTCTGAAAGTCAAAAACAATGGAGAAAACTCATGCTCCCCATTCTCAAGCCCACGCTGTATCTCCTTGCAGCAGTAAGAAAAGAGATCACGGTCTTCGTTTTATGAATCTGCTCTTCCTCTCGGGAAAAGATGCCAGTGGAGATGTGCTGGGTGCCATGGGCTCTGCCTCTCCAGGTCCTCAGGCCTCAAGGACTGGGACTAGTTGGGTATAGACACTGGCTCTCTGGCTGCTCTACTTTCTGGAAGAGGGTGATTAAGCAGCCGTCCTCCCAGTGCTTCAGGGAAGTCAAATGGACTAGAGGAGAGTTAACTGCCTCCACCATGTCATCAAGAAGTTCTGACAATCTGTGGACCTGTCCCCAAGGGGAAGATGAGGCTGCCATCTATCTTACAGACTGTCTCCTGTTCCCCTGACAGCGAAGCTGTATCTGAGAGCTCCCACTGGCAACTGGTGAAAATCACTGATGAAATGAGGTTGTGATTTGAAAGTCTGAGTCAGAGACATGTGAAATATAGTTTTAAAAATTCTACTAAATGGATTTCTTCATTGGGTAAACTAAGCCCAAATGGGCTCTCTGTTGAAATCAAGATGCATTTGCCTTCTGTGAACTATTAAAATAAGAGCTAGATCCAGGATAGGAGGAGGAAATTGGGCATCTCATCCTTAGGCCCCTCCATGTGAAATTGCTCAGTCATTATTACAGTAATACTAGATGTTTCCAGAACTCTTTTTTCCCCCACATGTTATTTTATATTTCTGCCCAGATAGAAGAAATATAGCGAAGCTAAATTAGACTTTCAATTCTTCAGCAGTCTGAATTTTGTTGTAATTTTTGGTCAGGGGAAATTACTAGGTGATGAACTTTGATTTCCCTGAAAACTGCAGTTACTGTAATGCCAGAGATGATTGGACGTCAAGCTGTTTGCTAGACCAAGCATAGGGTATTATGAAAACAGAGGGGGACGTCCAAGCATTTGGAGGAGGTGATAGACTGAAAAATGACGAAGGGATAAAGAAGAAACCCAATGAATTGCCCCTCAGCGTTTGGTTGGCACCATGACGTAACCCACTGATTTCATCAGTAGCAATATGGCGTCTCTGCTCAGGACTTACCAGTGACAGAGCTTCACGTGGCCTGGCCCTTGGCCCCTTTCTGTCCTCATTCACTGCCTTCTCCCTGGCACCCATCCTCTAGCCGCGCTCACCCATGTGCTCGTCCCTGAGCTGCCCGGTGGTGCAATGGCTCCTGCCTTCCTTCAGGAAGGGTTCTGCCCCACTACCTCCTGCTCTGGGGCAGCTCCACTGACGGCTCCATCTGTGGTCCACCCATCATCTCTCTCTGTCCCTCACCATACATTTTTGTTCTTAGCACTGATCACCCATATTACATCAAATACATATATGTATTTATTGGTTTATTCTCTGTCCCCTGGCATGCAGCCGTCCTCTGTGAGAATGGGGACTTTGTCTGGCTCCTTATGCGTCTCTGGGGCTGGCAGAAATTTCTGGAAAACAGTAGATGCTCCAACATTTGTAAAATGAGTACTGTATTTGAAAGAATTAACATTGTCTTTTGTGGAAACTATAAAAATAAACCTTTGTATTTTCTTGGCTTAATAACATTAACATGGAGAAGATTCCAGTTCATCGTCTGTAACTGGTTAACATCCTTTAAGAGTCATAGTTAATGTCAACTGTCATTTATTGAGCACTTTCTCCATGCCAGGCATCTGGACACTTCCTGTCTCAAATGATACCAAGTGCTGGCTTTGAAAGAAATTAATGACTCAATCTTTATCCCATTGCAACAAGCAGTTGTATGATTTCCCCATTGTCGGGCAGTGAACTCCTCTATCTTTAGTCAAGAGTGACGTCATCTTGGAGTAGGGCCCCTGTGCTGACTTTCATCCATTACAAGCTGTCCTCTGTTGGAAGTGTTTATTTTAAAATTTTGAACATACATAACTTTAGTATGTGGTTTGAAATACACATAGATGGTCCCCATGTGCGTTTCAGAGCATTTGAGGGTAGCCCCAGGATATGGACAGTCTGCTCAGTGTATATAGTAATGGAATGGACGTGGGCATTGTGACACCTGCCTTCTGTGTTTGGCTCTGAAATCCATTTACTGGGAGTTTTTCATGGAAATACATAGCCTCGTAGGACACCGGCTCTCAGGTATGGAAGGCTTTCCCCATCAGCCTGCTGTGAATGTCCAAGGAATAACCTGTGCTGGGGTCCTGGGGCTCTTTCAGCCTCCTCTTCTCAGCTGGAGCCGTCCCTTCTGCCTTAGGTCACGCTCTGTGTTCCTGTGGAGGAAAGAGCTGCTGTCCTCCGGCAGGGCACCCGGCACAGTGTTAGGAAGTCTCTTCCCCATGGGGTGTGGAGATCAGAAGTCCCCCCTCTTATGCACACCTAGTCCTGCAAGTGGGTGGGATTATAAAAATGTTTTAAATACTCTCTTTCTTCCTCATCTCTTTTTGTTTGTTTAAATGTGGGAGAGGCCAGAGGCTCTGTTTCCTGTACTGACAGCTCTATTCCAGGGATTCACACATTCACACATTCTGTCATTATCTGGGCACGTACCATGTGCAGAGCACGGTGCAAGATGATCAAGAAGACGTTTTCTCTGGAGGAACACTTTGCAGTACTGGTTGAGTCGGGGCTTAGTGTTCCAGTGTCCCTTTGATGCACACGTATCGACGAGAATGAGTCCTCAAGTGTAAGCACAGCTTGGTCTGCGTTGCAGATAGGTGGCCGCTTCTGCTGTTTTGTAAAGGCCAATTATGCATGGAAGTGTTTCCTGGCCTCCATGTTAAGTGCCACAGAGCAGTGAACCCTACCCTCCAGGAAAAACTATCCGTGCTGCATCCAGAGATGTGTTCTTTTTAAAAAAAATATTTATTTATTTTCATTGGAGTATAGTTGCTTGACAATGTTGTGTTAGCCTCTACTGCACAGCAAAATGAATCAGCCATGCACATACATATATTCCCCCCTTCACCTGGATTACCCTCCCATTTAGGACACCATAGTGCATTAAGTAGAGAAACCTGTGCTATACAGTATGTACCCATCAGTTTTTTTTCTCAGTTCTTAACAAAGAACCTTCAGATGCTTCTGCAGTATTGCCATTTTTATTTAAAAAATGACATCTTTAAAAAAATTTTTAGGGCTTCCCTGATGGTGCAGTGGTTAAGAATCCGCCTGCCAACGCAGGGGACACAGGTTTGATCCCTGGTCCGGGAAGATCCCACATGCCACGGAGCCACAACTACTGGGCCTGCGTGCCACAACTACTAAAGTGCGGGCACCTAGAGCCTGTGCTCTGCAGTAAGAGAAGCCATG